TCGCGCTAACAGTGTCGCGATGTGTACATTAAACATGCGCGCTCGTTTGATGCCTAGCGGGGAGTTTCGCACACATGTCAAACAAGCTGGAGCGAGCGTGGTCGTGCTGGGGTTGCGGTTCGCTCCAAATCCCTTACATAACATATACGATGCCCAAAATCAATAAAATAAAAAAAAGCACATATACCTGGACAGAGCGGTCGTGACCATAAACAAACTCCAGCTTGTGTGGTTTCTGTTTAATTTGCAAAGTTTGTACACAAAGCCCTTGCACAGTCACTGAAGCAGCACTGCATGCCTTCACGCAACAGCCAATTATGTGGCCAGCATTCAGTACTTCTCCACCTTCATTGAACCACCGGATCCTCGTCTCCAAATTTCCAATATGCCTCATAATGTCTCCTAAAGAAAGTGATTGCGTGAAATTGAACGGCATCGTTGACAGCCAACGTCAGCGCAGCAGACAAACCTATGGCGCACACGAGCACATGAAACTCGATCATCTCTCATGAGAGGCAGCCGTGTTGGACTTTCTCTTACGCCCCTTAAAGGCTGCGGAACTTGTGAATAGTCAGTGACAGGTCAAAAATTCTCAAGAGGCTTAGCTCAGAAGAGTTATTCGCCTGCTCATGTCTTTCCGCTGTTGAGAAAGTAGTTTCCTAGAAACGACAGGGACACCGGGACAACCATGATTCACGATTGCTTCACAAACCTACTTTCTGGATATGGTCGTGCGATACCATCGAGAGTTAATTCCTTCTTTTTTATAATAGCATCAAATCTCACATCAAACTGAAAATCTTTGCAGGACAAGCTGCTGTACCCCGGCTCCAAGGTGACAATGGCAGAAAGCCTCCTGCTGGTCATGGGCCACAGCCTTCGACAATGCTCACCCAAAGAATCCACCAAGCACCTTCTCAAGCTAGTTCCCAGGTAGCACAAAACATTATAATAACATTATTTTTTTGTTGTGTAAGTTGAAATAACGTTTTGTGTTAGGTGTAAATGTTACGGCAACGTTCAAATAAAACACTCAACGTTTTAGGTATGTTATCAATGTTGGTGTAACATTCAAATTAAACATATAACGATAATGTTGTGTACGACACATTATAACAACATTCAATACATAACTGTAAAGCAATGTTGTGAGCACTAACATTAATGTAACATTTAGTAACATTATGCTCCTAACATTATTCTGAAGTTTACAATGAAACATAGTAACAGTGAATGGAGAACCATGAAATAATGTTGCAAGAAGTAACACTGAAATAACATTTTAACATATATTTCCAATGTCATTTTGAAGCTTACAAGGAAACATAACATTCAATGCAAAATAGTAAATAAATGTTAAATAGTAATACTGAAATAATGTATTGGTTTGATCACATATCTGTTTTTCAAACTTCAAATAATTGTTGCAAATACTTATATTCAAGAAATTGTTTGACAATATTGTTTTTAACATTATTTTGAAGTTCACAATGAAACACAACATGCAGTAACAAGTTATTTATTGGTGTAACATTTTGAAAAGAGTAACATTTTTGCAAATGTTGTAAGAAAATGTAGTACACTATTTTAGTTTCCGATTTTATTGAAATGTAGCGTGAAGGTACAAAAAAATGGCAAGCGAAATGAAAATATATGCTATGATACTTTTTTGCATTTCTTGTCTTTTGCCCTATAAGGATGGAAGCATTTTGATTAAGCTTTTCTGTAGCAGCTGCTAACTCCAAACAATGGAAAATCTTGGATACCTATATGTAGAGCCCTGCATATCCGCGGATTACCTGTGGATATCTGCAGTAAACGGGCGGATGCGGATGAAAATTAAACAAATTTTGGCAGATTGCAGATTGGATGGCAGAGGCTGCGAATATCAGCGGATACGGATTTAAATTTTTGCCCAGCGGCATTCAGTTCGTCGACTGACGTCTCATCTACAAATCGTTTCGTCGAGATGAAACGTTTGATCGAAAGGCTTCTCCTGTTCGTTTCATCGAAAAACCTGAGATGTTTTGTTGCACACAACCTTGCTATTTTTGTAACAAACTTGTTGAGTCTCGCCTGGATTACAGGGGAGAGGGGGGCATGGTTTGGTTAAGCTCGCTAGCTTTTAGCAGCTTGGTGAAGAAATGCGTTGTCGACAAAACATTGCAGCGGCATGTGCCCACAAAACGTACAGCGTCGATGAACCGTTTGTCCATGAAAAGTTGTCCACCGATACATATTTCCACAAAAACGCGTTTCGAAGAAACAATAGGGATCCTAAGAAAGATCTGATTCTCACTGAAGATCGCTTCAGTTAGTGTGTTTCCTCTCGTCAAAAATGCTACCTTTAAAAAAAGTAAAGATTGCAGGGCATCAATTGTCCCAAGAAAGCTAGCACATTGGCAGGGAAAGAGCTGTAACTTTTTCTGGGCAAAGAAAACTTCAAACGTACAAGTCACAAGGAAGTAAAGAAACGTCCCCCTCTTCGCAAAGAGTAGTGTGGTCATGATTAAAAACAAAAAGTGCCTCGACAGCGAGTGCGACCCTGTGGCACCACGGTTTGTAAAGTTTCAGAGTCAACAGCGAACTTGCATAGGCAGACGGTAAACTGCCTCTGTGTTTCTTTTTTGTATGCTTAGAGCCCTAGCCAAAACGCCTGGTAGTTCATGTTCGTCCAATTACGACGCCAGTGCGTCGTAGCCGGACTAATATGAACCTCTATTACTTTTTAATTGTTTAACAGAACTGTAATGTCATATTTAGTATGCCCTTTTTTAACTTTTATCCTTCAAAAGTATGCGTCCGCATAAAATAGGTGTTACAAAGCAAAAAAAAAAAAAAAACATATATAACCTTTTTGTGCGCTCCTTCTGGGCAGAGTGTCGCGGATTCCTAGGATGATCACATAACTGAGATGATTTTTCCTAATCGCTTTTAATATAAATCCGATGAAACTGATAATGATAAAATGACACTTCCTTTGAATGGCGAGCCAGATTTCTTTGGTACAAAGATAAGCAAACAGCTTAAAAAGTGTCATTTCTATTTTACAATGAATGCCTGGATTGTGAGTCGGATCTGGTTCCACATTTTGCGGATGCGGTTCGGATACGGATACAATAATGTAAAAAGTATGCGGATACAGTTTGGATACAAAGTATGCAGATGCAGATCGGATACGGATACAATAATGTAAAAAGTTTGCGGATACGGTTCGAATACAAAGTCTGCAGATAATTAAACTGTTATCCACGCAGGGCTCTACCTATATGTAAGATCTAAATGAAATGCAGCGTAAAGATACAAAAAAATGGCAAGGAAAATTAAAATATGTGCTATGCTACTTTTTTGAAAGAAAGACAGCCACAAATAGTATGTGCTTGTTTCACTTGTTTTATGTTTCACATTAATAGATTCACTTCCCTTTACCAGGAAGGCCTGAGGGAAGAGGAGGTGATTATATAGACTACGGAGCTTGTGGATAAGTGAAGTGATGATGTGTATCACGAAAGCGCTTTCATCCCTTCTTCATAAACAGTCAGTCTCTCCGCTTGCCAGCTTGATCCTGCTAACGTTTCCCTTGCCCTCTTGAAGTGACCTGCATCACCCTACGATTTACTCCAGAGGTGCCCGAAGGTGGTGGATTAATTACTGAAGTATAGAAACATGTGCCTCTTTAAATAAAAGATTTTTTTTCCTATGAAAATTTTTTTGTCATGCTTTGTTTTTCTAAATGATCAAAAATGAATCTGGGCATTTCTGGTGTTTATTACGACTAAATAAAGAGTGGGATGGGAAGGGAATGAAATTGGCAAACATAATACTTGTTTCATTTGGCCAGAATGAATGTCTGTCCCAAAATAATTAGTTTTTTTTCTTTTCCCTTATTTGAATTAGATAGAAGTATGATATATTTACTGCACTATGTAGGGAATGTACACATGTGTGCTGGTACTGTGGGGAGGCTGGCATCCATGCAACTATGTGTTTGAGGTTCCTTCGCCGTTCACATGTGAACTGAGACAGTACAATCAGGGCAACTCCTGCCCCTCTCGATGAGATCCTGTCTTTCCGGAAGATGCTAAACTTTTGGGTGTCAGCAATTTGTCCTTCGAATATTGTATCATCCAACCAGGTTTCTGAGACCCCAAAGATTGTGTTCGGCGAAGTTTCAAACAAGACAACGAGGTCCGAGTTTGTTCTTGATGGATAGAGCGTTTGTATACCGGATGCCGATGTGTCGCCGCTTCCTCGGTGCGGGAGGAGTACGTCGGTTACTAGCGTCACTCCGTTTTGTGTCCCGGGCGATGGGCCTGGCAGTTTCGTGGGGGGAAGGGGGGGGGGGCACGACACCGGTGGATATGGGTGCGGGGTGCGAGTCATCGGAGGGAGGAAGCTGGCATGAGCCACAAAACCAGTGCCCGGCGAGGAGGCCAAGCATCGGTAGGCGAGTAGCGACAGCCCTTCACACTTCCCATGGAGCCACCAATCACACAGGTCACATTTTAGGGGGTCCATATCAGAAGAGCGAATGACATTTTAGCGAAAGGCGACATTTGAGCGAATGATCGTTTTAGCGAATAACTGGGGTCCGCGTTAACCCATCCGTCGCGCTGCGCTTTACGCCGCTTCGCGGCGACAGTCTACGGCAACTCATTACAAAAATATGAACTCACTTGGCCCACCCGAAAACGCCGCTTCGCGGCGTCTGACTATTCGCTAAAGTGTCGTTCGATGAAACGTGGGCGTTCGCTAAAACGTCATTCGATCAAGTGAGTGCCTCCCCATTTTAGGGCGGCCACGTTGTTGTAAACCGCTTTCTCGCAGCTCGGGGAGGTTGGCGACGGCCTGGGATTTCGATAGATGTTCCCGGCAATCAGCATGAGTCATGCAATCGGCGCAGTCGTCCAGGCAGGCCTAACCGCGATGAAGCGGATGTCCGCACTTTCAGAAGTGAGAGAAGCCGCCGCGCGGAGTTGAGAAGCATTGTGCACCTCATCGGAGTGTTCCCGGAGCTCGACTCTCTGTAGAGAGGCGACCAGCAGAAGTTGCAACCATGTCCGCAAGCACGTCATCCCTGAAGACTATAATTTTGCTGAAAGGTTCCACCACCGTATTACACATATGTGCGAAATCCCGTCAAATATGCTGAGAAACTGTTTGATGCGGTCTCTCTAAAGAGCCAACGAAACGTTGTAAATCTCTTAGTACAAACACAAAACACGGCAGAGACGAAAAGGGTACCTTTGAACTTGAAGCAAGCCCATGGTCAACACACGCACTGCACCGCACAAAAAGACCATCCGTGTGCGCTACTTTTAGAGCGTTAACAAGCAAAGCAAGGCGTAAATGAGTAAGAATCGTTCCGTAGAACCCGTAGAACCAGATCACAACAGCCGCCATCACAACCCTAAATATACAAACACAGTGCTGCTAGACTTCTTTTCTTTGGTTTTGTGAGTTTGTCGGGTGTGTAAATAAGTAAAGTCTGATGAGTAAATTTATTAATACTATACACTACAGATATTTTCTTCTTGATGTGTTCTACTTTTAAGTCACAAAATAAAATATAATATAATTTATTAACTACAAAATGCATACACGGTTGGTTTAGCCTATTTTAGACCAATGGCTTAGGTTGGCAACATACGTTCCCGCCGGTTCAAGTGGTTCAAGTATGGTTTAAGTTTGGTTTAAGCGGTCTAAGTTTAAGTTTGTATCGCGGCTCGCACAATTGTGGCTCGCACGGTTCTGACCTGACAACCGTGGCTCTGAAACATCGTGAAGACAAGTTCTAGTAGTTACGGTTCGAAGTGCCTAACGGTCAGGCTGCGTAATCCCACTGTGGCACCGACGCACCTGCGTACCCTGCGTGAAACGTAAGTAGCGGTACCTCATTTCCTTTAGTGATGCTGCTCACTTGCTTAACCGACGGGATCTCGCATATTACGTTTGTGGGTATTCCTGTCTCGGGTACCCGAAATCGGGACGGCTCCTTTGGAGCCTTTGGATCCTTTGGAGGTCGATATCTGACCTCAACAATTCCGTCTAGGACCGGAATTCGGTGCCGGTCCTAGACGGAATTCAAGGCGGTGCGTTGTAAGTGGCAGAGCTTCGCTTTAGGGTGCCCATTATTACCTAAACCTCGCACATGCTCGTGAATGTGCGAGGCTGGTTAGGTAATAATAGACAAGAGTAATTATTTGAGGGCTCTACAGTGATTATTATTTTGAAGAGCGAAGCGCTGCCACTATGACCCGGACGAAATCCGGACAAAATTTTCTAGCGCAACCAATGACTATGATAAGTGGGCAACCATGTTCGCCGATTGCGCGCGATTTCGGTTACGCCAGACTGCGCGACTCGCGATGCATGATATCCCTTTGTGATTGAACGGTGCTAAGAGGAAACGATCTCCTGGTTCGTAAAATGAAGCGACAGAGGCGAGCATTTGATGACGTGTGCGACCGACAGAAGAAAAGAATTATTGCCGAAAACGTGCGCGACCATCTTGCGGACATTTTTTCTAAGTCTGCTCCGGACGAGAGCGATGGAAATTCTGCGGTTGACGGATCAGACGACAGCAGTGACGGAGCCAGGGAGGGTCTGAGCGCACCGCAAGTCGACGATCCCAGAGATCCTTGCGCGAGCACATCAGCTTCCGAAGAAACTGAAACTCATTTGCCAATCTCAAGTGCAGATGAGTTTACTTTGGCAAGCGAGCTGGCCACCTGGGCACGTGAGACCAAAGCCTGCGCATCCCATCTTAGCAAGCTTTTAAAGATATTGAAGAAGTATCACCCGGAGCTGCCTAGTGACGCAAGAAGCCTAATGGGGACACCAAGATCTTGCAATGTGAAAAACATGGGAGCGTCCGGCCTCTACCACTATTTCGGAATCGAATCGTCACTAAAACGAATGATGAGCTCAGGCAGCATCACTGGAGACACCATTTCGTTGCTCATCAATGTTGATGGCCTGCCTATAGCGAAAAGTTCCAGCAAGCAGTTCTGGCCCATTCTTGCATCTGTCGTCGAAAGCTGCGATCCTGAACCTTTCGTCATAGCTCTGTTTGTTGGAGACAAGAAGCCGGAGAACTTGGATGACTACCTTACCGATTTCATTTCGGAGTTAAGCACATTGCTGGAAGAACACGTGACCGAGGGCGGAAAGGAGTGCGTAGTTCGAGTGCATGCGTTCATTTGCGATGCGCCCGCAAGGGCATTTCTGAAGTGCATCAAGGGCCATGGGGGATACTTCAGTTGTGAAAAGTGCACCCAAGAAGGCACCTTCTCTGAAAGCTGCCGGAAAGTAATTCTTCCAGAAGTCAGCAGCCCCCTACGAACAGACGAGTCGTTTCGAAAGCAGGATCAGGAAGGGCACCATCATCGACAGTCCCCATTGGTCGAGCTACAGATTGGCATGGTAAGCCAATTTCCCCTCGACTATATGCATTTAGTCTGCCTAGGCGTTATGCGGAGGCTTCTACTTCACTATTGGGTGCGGGGACGACCTCATCGATCAAAGCTCCCACCACGTGCACAGACTAGCATCTCAACAATGCTCATGAAACTCCAGAGACACACCCCTCGGGAGATGGCTCGGAAGCCCCGGAGTCTTCATGAATTAGAGAGATGGAAGGCCACTGAGCTACGAAACTTCCTCTTGTACTTCGGTCCTGCGGTTCTAAAAGACCACATGGAGAAGCGCTACTACCAGCACTTTCTCAAACTGAGCATTGCAGTGTCAATCCTGTCAAGCCCACGACTCTGCCATGAGGAGATTGATTCTGCAGAGAAGCTGCTTGAAGAGTTTGTTTCTGATGCTGGGGACCTGTACGGTGAAGGCATTTACGTGTACAACATACATTCTCTGCTGCATCTTACTGCTGATGTGCGGAGGTTCGGTCACCTTGACTCCTTCTCTGCGTTCCGGTTTGAGAACTTTCTGGGTCAACTGAAGCGAGATTTGAAGTCACCAAATCGACCATTACAACAGATTGTAAAACGCTTAGAAGAGCGCAGTCATGCTGACTTGCATCCTAGAATACCACCGAAGCAGCAGGCATTGTTGCAAAAGCCGCATAATGCCGGACCAGCACCTCCAGGATTTAAGGGAGAGCAGTATCACAAGCTAGTTCTTCAAGGCATGGTTCTGGAAGTGAACCTACCAGACTCATGTTTTCTGATGGAAGATGGAAATGTAGTCGTCGCAACAAATGTTGTGTCCCGTGATGGAGAGATCAAGATCTGTGGCCAGTTTTTCAAGAGATTAACAAACTTCTATGCCGGCATTGTTGACACAACTGGACTGTGTACTTTCAGGGCTTCTCAGGTTTCGTCTGCAAATGCTTTGTGGACTGTTGAACAGGTCAAATCAAAGTGCTGCTGGCTTCCTTGTGGGGGTGAATTTTTGGTTAAGCCACTCTTGCACACAGGATAGCTCAGATAAGCAATATCTGCCGTAAATGTGCTCTCACTTATAGTGTTGTTTTAATGAGTATATAATCATCACGAATAAAAATAAAGTGTGTGTGCTAATGTCTTTGGCATAAATTATGTCTTTATGCTAATAACTGCTAGGGGATTTTTAAGGACATTTCTTCTGATTATAAGGCATCTGTAGGTTGAAAATTGAGGGATTAGAAAAAAGCTGCTATAAATAGAACTGTTTATATGATGGAAAGACCAAAATAGAAAAGCTGTAAGGTGAATGTCTAATAAAAGGTTAGTTTTCTTTTGCTCATGATGTGTGCTCACTACTTTAGCTCTTTAAATGAATGATAATGTGATTATCCTTTGACTTGGTGATTACACGTAACTATTGTCCCAACTGATAGATATCCCAGCTAAGATGCCGCAAGTATAAAAAGACTGAACACTCTACGCCAGAGGTACACAACCTTTTCGGGACTGCGAACCCCCAAAGCTTCTGAGTGCCCTCCGGCGACCCCCGCCTTAACTATTTTTGGAGCTCTCCGAGGCTCTGTAGCCGCCAGACATTTCCCCACAACCTCCAGTCTGTGCACCTCTGCTCTACACAAGTGAAAACCACTATGTTGTTAGCAGGTGTCTTGCGAAACGCAAGAAAGACTTGGCAAACTTTTAAATATCAATTTTAAGACCAGCAGGATCAAGGTGTCAACTGGCAGGCTTTAGAAGTCTTGAGAAACAGCCAACTGGGGTGTTTTGAACACAATACACTTTGTTTGCTTCCTTTTCTAGCAAAGAAAGAAAGCCCATGAAATATAGGGTGGTTCAAGCCACCAGGCTCGATCTGAAATGGACCGTAAAAATCAATGCCTGCACGTAACAATCTAAACTTTTCGTCAGCGGTGTATTTCACAGGTCGGTTTTTTCTTGTAAAATTATAAAGCGTAGTTCTCGTTCTGTAAAAAATAAGGCCAAGAAACTTGCCAGGGTCTACGGCGGGCAGCGACGTAAACGAGAGGGGTTCATTAGCGGGATGTGTTTGGCATTCGTATCGATAGATGGCGTCGGGAGCAGCCTCCGAAGTTGCAGCCGACCAGTGAAAGAAAGCAGACGACACGCAGACGAAATCCGTTGACAGCAAAAGCGCCACCGTTATACAGACACGTTTTTTTTACTCTAAGTTTTGCTTTTATTGTCCGCATTTATTTTTTAACCGAAGGTACATTTCAAAAAGATTATGCCCATTTTAACAAACCACGGTGGTCACGAGCCGTTGCGATAAGGAGGGAGCGCCATCTATCAATACAAATGCCAAACACATCATGAGTTTTCTTTTGTTTTAGTTTTAGTAATTTTCACCTTCATAAACCATGTACACAGCATTCATATTTTATTTGGTTTCATCAATATTCGATTCATGTTTGATTTGGTTACATCACTATTTGCACACCCCTAATCTTGTTACTTCATAAAACTTGTAGGTATGCTCTTTACTGACGGTCTCAAATTGAATTTTCTAGATGTTCTCGGTCGCCCATTTTATGAAGACTGATGACGTGGCCGTGGTTCCAACACGCTGGATTAAGAACGGGACAGCTCCCTGGCCACCGTTTAAAAATACTGCAAAAGTGAACAGTGCAGTGAGGGACAGAACGGAGCCAGGCAAAGACTGGCCAAAATTTGCCTGCAGGGTCATGTCATATACAGGTAAGCTCCGCCCTGAACGCCATTAGTTTTTTTTTTTCATTCTGAAGAGAGCACTGCTCTATTGAAAGTTATTACAATCCACACTTTCGCAGAATCTACAAAAGAGAAGGGGGTTTGGTTGTGAAATAATTCTTAAAGTACATATCATATCTGACTCCCTTTTTTTAGTTACTATGGTAACGGTACTATAGACCTCCCACTGCCTATGTTAATAGGACACATTGGTAACAGCTTGATAGCTACAAAAAGGCAGCATATGCTTCATTAGCAGAAGCTACGTACAGCTTAGACAAAACTCAGCAAAATATAATGCCTCACATTCAACGCACATTTTTTATTAATTCATTATCTACATAACATCTGACTTGCAGACAGTTACGAAGTTGCCCGCAAGAGGTCCATAAAGGCGGAGGAAGAGTCCGACCTTACATCGGAAGCAGAGACATCGCAAAAAAGAATACGGCGACCTCCGACATTTTTCGATGACTACCTCACTGACAGCAGCGATGAGGAGGGAGTAACTGAAGAACCACCTCCAGAAGGTGACATTGAATTTCTCGCTGAGCCCCCACCGCCACCACCTCTTCAAAGAAAAAGTGGAGCACATTGTGGAGGAGCAGGCCAAACTGATGGTGGCAAGTCCTTTTTTCTTACACGTGTTTTGAAGGAAATGGTTTACATGAACAAATACTAGTGATAAAGTGAAATGCACAAGGTAATCAAAACAAAACTACAGATCATGTATTTCACACTTCGAATGTTTGTAATCTAGAGTTGAGAAAAGGCCTTCCTAGACCCACGTGCAGGCTGTTATGTACACAGTGCGACACTTTTAGCATGAACATGACATCGGCGCTTTTTTGTGCTTTGCTCAAGCTGTGAAACCCTTATGGGCCCTTTTCACCGCATTAGTAATTTTGGTGATATCACCTGATTTGTGTAAGTAAAGCGAGTAAACCCGACGATGTTGTGTTTGTGCTAACAGCGTCGCATAGTGTACAGTATGGGCATGGTATAGATCAGGGGTGGGCAAACCGCGGCTCGCGAGCCGCATGCGGCTCTTTGCTGGTCCAAGTGCGGCTCGCGGATCCCTCGTAAGAGGACTCCCCCCCCCCCTTCGCCCCTTTCCGCGTTTCCCCAAGAAAAAAAAGAAGAAAGGATTCCAGAATAAAGCACACTGCAGCTTGCAGTTTGACAGCCTTGTACTCCCATCCAAGGAAATACGCAACTGTGACATAGCAGTTCAACTGCTCATCCTTGTTATTACTTATGCATTGCTTGTGGTTTTTCAGATGACTTGGTGTTGCCCAAAGGAAGACCAAAAAGTGCATCTTCTTTGAACTGCTCTGCTGAACCTTCAAGCAAAGGCAAGTATATTTTGTGACTGACAGAAGAGTTAGGATGTATGTGCACTTTTGACACATGAACCTGTAAAAAGTAACTTCACTTAGTTACAAGTTTCTGGAAAATGTACCTAAAATACAGCAGGGGTGGAATAGCTGTACCATTTGCGCCAGACGCATATGTCTGCGCCATCCTGAAACATGTTGTGGAAACTGCGCCACAGCCAATACCTCGTGCCATTATGCACCAAAAGAATTGTATTTTGTCTTGGTTCCGGTTTTTATCGACCCGATTCGCAACAATGAGCGCATTTAGCTTGGTCGGCCTTGCACTCCTTTGCTCTGTTTATTCTCCCTGTGTATCTCGAGTCAGAAGCGCACGAAAAAAATTGGGGGTCAGACTCCAAGCGCTACACCACCTGCTTCTGGATTGTTATCCTTCAACCATAAGCGGTTAAAGGGCAACTCCGCTCAATTCCGAAGATTTCGGGATAATGAGTGATTTCGAATTAAAAAGCCCTAGTAAAACACACTACGTTGTTTGCTTTGCGAAAAGTGGGCTATATATTTTTAAATCTAATTTTAAACACGAGCTGAAATCGAAACCGAAACTTCGGCTCTGCCCGGCAACATTGGCCTCGGGCCGCCAAGTACATGGCCATCACGTGGTACGAGATGTCACGTGATCCTCGGCCCAACGACGGGCGGGATTGGGGCGGGCGTGTGGCAGGCGCGAGTGTCGTCTGCACCGCACTCTTCGCCACGTTTTGGTGTCTACGGCATTCGACGACGTCTGCACAACTGCGGCATAAGTCTGCGCACATGGTGTCCGTGGTGTGGATGAAACTCCGAGAGACAATAATCACAATCGGTGAGACGACGACGGCGGTTGTGACGCGGAAGACGGCGGTAACGGCGGGCGGCCGGACGGCTCCCAAGAAACGCGCTGCGCGGGCGCGTTACACCAATCATGTGGACACCGCTGAGCGCCGAGAGGCAACGTTGCTGACGTCATGCGCTACGCTCGCGCGGAGAAGTGAAAACAAGCAAAAGGGGGCCATGATAATGACGTTTAGCTCAATGTTGGCTCCGCCCATGCCATAGCCTTGACTGCGCTGTTGGTTGCGCCTGATCGCCCGCTCAAGTCAGCCGATTTCGACAACTTGGCGAGTTGCGAAGTTTGCCGGACCGTTTAAGAAACATTTAGACAGAACTGCGTCGTAACATTTCACTCGTGGTCTTCCTAGGCGATACTGAAGAGGACTGCATTGTTTTTTCAAAACCAAAAATGAAGCGGAGTTGCCCTTTAAGCACGTCAGCAGAAGTGAGGTCGAGTCGTTAAGAGTCAGATTGCCTGAGGCTCTGCGGCCCGGGATCCAGACTTCAGCCAGTTGAAGACAGGAGCAAAAGATTCCTGTTAGTACTTCATCGTTAAAAGTTGGAACCGCATTCCCACAAGATAAATCGTGATTTGATAGAACTGAAATGCGGTCCAATCCGAAACCTTGCCGGCCAGCAGCTCTCATGCAAGCGGTAGATCTGCTTGGCATACTTTAACCTTGCTCCTGCTTATCGCCTCGAATATGATAACTACGCTTAATCATAGTCTGCTGCTTCGTTATTGAGTTACACAATAGGATAAATTCGAAATTTATTGCCCTGTTCCTTCGCGCAACTGCACGTTCGTTGCTTGCGCACGTCACGTGATTCGCGCATGTAATTACTAAGACATAAACTGAAGTGCAGTGAAAACTTATCTGAGCTGCTCCTAGCCTGCTCCAGAATGTAGGTTCAGCTGCTCCCGTGGCTCCTCCCAAGTACATTTCATGAGTTCCAACCCTGTACAGATACAGATACCGAAAAATGAAAGTACCTAGGTTTTTATGTCAGGTACAACAAAGGTACCTAGATACCGATTTCGAGTTACTTGTACCTAGGTGCTTTACAACCCTGGCTGAGGCATGTCCTGTTTAAAAAAAAAAAAACTTTAGCCTTGTTGCTTTGCAGCATTGATGCATGCTGCACGTTGTAAGAATGGATAATTTGTTTGTGTAATTAAGCTAAGTGCTTCGGTAACGTGAGCAACAAGAGAAAAGTTTCTGTATCTTTAATGCTCTTACAGCTTTAAGCGATTAAAGTATTAACTCCTTGTCACCTTGAAAATGAATAAAGGCTTGTTTTTTTATCATCTTTATCGGAACACTCAATATTGATAAGGTTCTAACGTATTGCTCTTTTTTTTTTTTTTTTTTAGCTTTGGTCACAGTTCTTAGGGAACTTGAGTGTATTAAGGCACAGTTGACAAGCATGGCTACAATGTTGGCCAGAATACAGATGCATGTGAATGCTGATGACCCTACTGCCATGGCTGGTCCAGTCCATCCAGAAGACCTTCCAGTCTATCCAGTGAAGACAAGAGAGGAATTTGCCTTCCTGGAGGCTAGCTTAAAAAATGAAGCCATTTTTGCAAAGCTAGTAAGTTTCAAGTTGTTGTGCGTTACAGCCAAAGGTTATTATCCAGAACATACATGTACTGAAATAGTCATTGTTTTTCATCTTTCTTCTGTTCTTTGAGCAAGAGAAGCTTTTATGTGTGGCTTATTGTGGATAACTTTTGATTTCTAGGTGAAAGAGCTTGGCCAAATTGGAGGTAGAGATGTAGCCTCTACAACAAAAACGGTGTTTAAGAAACTTGTCGGAGATGAAGTTGCCGTCTTCTACAACAGAACCGGGCGAAACGGAAAGCAAGAAGCCGGGAAACTGAAGATCTTTAGCCTGATCTATGGTAAGAGTAATGTTTTTGTATCACTGTCTACACTATGGAGAGTAATGTGCTTGCATGCACCCGTCTTTTTTTTTTTTTTATTATTAAGTATTACTTTACAGTGATCGTTATAAAACTTCTGATAGCTGTGCATATTTTTTTCAGCTGCTGTACGTGTAACCCGCAAAACTGCAACAGACGACGAGATGGGCCGCGCCATTGGTGATTGGCTGCGCTTCGCCAACGTCCGGCTCCGTGCTCAAGGCAAGCAACAACCTAATCTTTGCAGGAAGGATACAAATACATTGAAGCTGATGATTAATCTAAAAATCTCCTGAGGCTTACAAAATGAAGAATGTAAACCATGCATGAGATCTGTAACACAGCGAAGAGTTCTATTGTACTATCGCTATACATTGAAATACAAAGAAGAGAGCTTGTGGCTTTCTACAAATGCTGCACAAACTGGCCACGAGCCAGCGAAGCTTGCACATGTGTAGTTCGACCAAGGACACTAGATTAATCTCCAACTCTTGAATGCCTTGACTGGTGCCTGGTGTGTAAGCAGTGTACTGAAAGTTATGCGCTTTGTGTTCATATTGCAATGTATTGCAATAGTACATGCTCACTTGTATCATTGCCCCTCCCAATCAAATGCACCAGCAGAAGCAGTGAGCACAACTACAAAATAACGAAGGAAGCTTTGTTTACAATAATTTCTTATTGGAAAAAAGTAAAAATTGGTTTTCTAACATACAGAATGTAGCAGCCGAATAAGAAAGTTCTGCACTCAGCTTGATTTTCTTTGTCTTGCTTTCCTAGAAAATAGGGCAGTAAAAGTATTTCTGACAGCCGTTTGTGGGACTGATTGTGTGTTGCTATTGGGTGAGGCCAGCTGAACATACAAGATGACAACACAGAGAAAATTAGACAAACACGATGCTGGACTAAACTGTTTAATGGAGTGCATTTTTATTCATTTACACAGGAGCAGGTTGGCCCCAGACGGGGCCAACTGGTTCTTTTGTAAATAAAGTATGTGGATGAAGTTAGTCCGGCATTGTGTTTGTCTCATTTTCTCTCTTCCTGTTTTTGTGCTGTAGGTTCATTTGGCCCCATCGACAAGCGCTGCACCAACAAGCTCAGCTCCGGGTCGTCACAAGGTGTATTTTGTCGCGTGTTTCAATGTTGGTTTGCTTGAGCAGGAGGACTGACAACTACTAGGTACAAGTGACTCAACAACAAATTAAAGGATTTGATAGCATGTTGGTGGGAGTTAAGAAACAAACAAAAGAGAGACACTTATGACAAGAGATGCCACGGGTGTACAGTTCAACTAGCAACATCAATAAACTACCACAAGGCATTATTTTATTTTTGCTAGTTGAGAGATGTACCTGTGTTGTCTCTTGTCATAAGTGTTTGCTACTTTGTTTGTTTTTTGCAATCAATTCACTGTTTTAAGCACTTGAACAAGATTGTCATTTTCTTTTAGTTCGTAGTTATGTGGGAAATCAGGTCAGCCTTTTTGCGGCTCTATATGAACTCTCTTTCCCACTAGGATATTTCTAGTACACCCTAATTTCTTGAGGGGTTTCCAAACCTGCAAACCATTGTCACAAAGCTAAATTTCGAATTAAGCTACACTGTTATGTTTTCCACGTATTATGATCATTTGCCACCTCAAATTTAGTTTCCGGCACTCTGTATTAATTATTTTCTTGTTTTGTTTGCAGCCAGAAAAGTCGAAAACATCCCATCGACAGAAACTGTGGTTTGACTTGGGAAGATGAAAATCAGTTTGTTTCAATTTTTTTTTTTTCTGTCTAGTCCTGTTCTAGACTTTCTTCAGCCTATTTCATATTCTATTGTCATATTTTACTTTTTAAAGTGGCAATAAGGCTATTTAATGTCTCGACTTCTGTTCTAGTCTAGTGACAGGCTTTACTGTGGTTTGACTTGGGAAGATGAAAGTGTTTGTTTTAATTTTTTTTTTCTGTCTAGTCCTGTTCTAGAGTTTCTTCAGCCTATTTCATATTCTATTGTCATATTTTACTTTTTAAAGCGGCAATAGGCCTATTTAATGTCTCGACTTCTGTTCTAGTCTAGTGACAGGCTTTAGTCAGTCCTTTCCGGCTTTTCTTTAATACGATACCGTTTTAGTAATCAAGTTTTTCTAACTGCTTCTACACATGGCAATTGTATATAGTGCCAGCTGGACATAAAAGGATTAGAGAGAGATAAGAAAGACACACCGTTGGACTAGCAACTGTTTAATCAGATCATCTTTTTCTTCATCTACGTTGAGTTTCTCTTCTTTTTTATCTACACTGCATTTGATTTAATTGAGGAGTTCCTTTTCTTCTAGTCTTATACTCGAGCGTCTCCTCGTCTTCCATTTGTCCACCATGGGTGCGGCCCCTCTAAGATACTCACCTTCCTTGTGGTGTAGTGCGATGGAAGGTATACCCACACACTTGTCCGCTTTTGCGTCAATAGCAAAGGCCTCCAGGATTTCTCGAGTGAACTTGTGGCGGTTTCTTGCCAGGATGTTTAGGCTAGAAAAGTCTGGTACACACAGGCACATATGACAATGGGCAGGTAGGTGCTCTGCACGCTGTGGTGGCCTTCACCGAAGCTGCATGTTCTCTCGTCTAGTCACTGATGCACCTTCCCTTCTGTCCAATGTAACATTGACTACATGACATGGGATTTGGTGCACAACCTCCTTCTCACATTTGGTGTACTTGGCAGTTCATTTTCTCCTTGTTGGCCCTCTTGTTTACATGATGAAAAATTGCACACAAAGAGACAAGGGAAAAACACAGAAGTCAGAGAGGCGCATACTCGCAACTCTGGTATATTAAGTGAAGAAAGAAAAGATGAAGCACGATTCATGACGGGGGACATCAACACCAGGGGGTAAACAGTTCAGTCATAGTGAGGTGTTCGCAAAAAGGCAACTTCTTTTTCGCTCAAAGCAACCGACGGCTGACTAACGCAGAGATCGGTCAGACTCAAGATGGTGAACGCATCGAGCACCTCGCGCGTTTGTTTATCATTAAAGTGCCCAATGATTGAGATTTTTTTCTAAAGATGGTGTGCAGATAGAGGTCTTACAATGCACCAAAAGGTTGACCTCATACAGTTTATGATCGTGCTCTCGCAGCCAGTCATTCAAACACTTTCTAGTCTGTCCGACATAGCATCTTCCACAGGGAAGAGGAATGCTGTACACTACGCTCAATGAACGAGGAGTGAAAGGCTGCACATGTTTTTTGTGGCGCGTGTCTTTTTCGCTTTGGCGCAAACCTTAGAACAAATTTGTCACATCTTTTTAGAGGCTGATAATACTACGGGCACACCATACCTACTTACCACTTGTTTTAGATTATGCGATATCTTGTGTAGATACAATCTAAAACAAGTGGCAAGTAGGTGTGCTGTGCCCACAGTAATATCAGCCCCTAAAAAAATATGACAAATTTGTTTAAGGTCTGCGCCAAAGAGAACAAATTATAAAAAACACGTGCCACAAAAAACATGTGCAGCCTTTTTTTTCCTGTTCATCGAGCGTTGTATACAGCATTCCTCTTTCCTGTGGAAGATGCTATGTCGGACAGACTAGACAGTGTTCGAATGACTGGCTGCGAGAGCACAATCATAAACTGTATGAGGTCAACCTTTTGGTGCATTGTAAGACCTCTATCTGCACACCATCTTTAGAAAAAACCTCAATCATTGGGCGCTTTAATGAAAAACAAACGCGCGAGGTGCTCAGGGCGTTCACCATCTTGAGTCTGGCCGATCGCTGCGTTAGTCAGCCGTCGGTTGCATGAGCGAAAGAGAACTTGCCTTTTTGCGAATATTCCTCTGCGACTGAACTCGACCCCCTGGTGTCGATGTCCCCTGTCATGAATCGTGCTGTCTGTCTTCTGTGTTCCTTCCTCGTCTCTTTGTGTGCAACTTTCCATCATGTAAACAAAGGGACCAACAAGGAGAAGACAAACTGCAAGGTATCTCACGAGACCAAGCACACCGAATGTGAGAAGGAGGTTGTGTACCAAATCCCACTGTCATGTGGTCAATGTTACATTGGACAGACGGGAAGGTGCATCGGTGACCAGACTAGGGAACATGCAGCTTCGGTGAAGGCCACCACTGCAGCAGGGGACCTACCCGCCCATTGTCACATGTGCCGGTGTGTACCAGAGTTTTCTAGCCTAACCATCCTAGCAAGAAACCGCCACAAGTTCACTCGAGAAATCCTGGAGGCCCTTGCTATTGACGCAAAGGCAGACGAGTGTGTGTGTGTGCCTTCCATCGCACTACACAACAAGGAAGTTGAGTACCTTAGAGGGCCGCACTTATGGCGGACAGATGGAAGATGTGAAGATGCTTGGGTATAAGATTAGAAGAAGAACTCCTCAATTAAATCAAATGCAATGTAGATAAGAAAAAAAGAGGAAGTGAAACTCAATGTAGATGAAGAGAAAGATGATCTGATGAAACAGTTCCTAGTCCAGCGGTGTATGCCTTTCTTATCTCTCTCTCTAACCCTTCTTTTATGTTCAGCTGGCACTATATAGAGCAATGAGCCAACTAGCTCAGCTTCAAGCTTCACCCGCTCTAGTCACCACTTCTACTCAGTTTCAAGCTTGTTTCTGTAGTACATACAGATTTGTCTTAAGTTATTGGCTTGTCATTTTAACAGCTGAGTCTAGCAGCATCCTTACTCGTATGTATATGCTTTTGGTTTAATTTGAAACAATAAATGTTTTAGTACATGTACCTGACTGATTTCATCTTTGCAAGGGTAGTAAATTGCAATTATTTCGTCTCAATATGTGCTGTGATGAAAAGGAGCTTGTTAATTCTAGCGTTTTTGTTAATAGTGTGCAATATTGTGCCTTTCACAAACATTCTTTTCCTCAGTTAACGGACATGCTACGATCAAGCTTCTTCAAAAGGTGCATACAGTCAATTCTCTCCCGTTATGTGTATTGCGCACTGGAGTCCGGTGGTTCATCTTCTGGAAAACATTGCTATGTATGTGAAAAAGGACCTCCTCGAAGACCCAGGACGCAATATTTTGTTGCAAGTCTTAGCTTTTTCAGCCCTCAGAAAAGCCATGTCTGTAGTGAAACACTGCCTGTCGTTGGGTTTCAAGGAGGTTCCTTTCCAACACCCTTCTTTCAGCTTTGACTACCTGCAGTTTTGTTGGTATGCAAGTTTATAAAACATTAGATTCACATCAAAGAAAATGGTACTGCTACACTAGCAGAATATCCACAAAATGTTAGAAAGAACTTTTCAGTTGAAGACAAAAGTATTGTAATCAGACGCAGTTGCTACCCATGCAGTTCGCCTTGTTCACAGCAGAGGCGTAACTGCATGGGTAGCGGTTGCGTCTGATTTATAATATTTTTGTCTTCGTCAACTGAAAAGATCTTTCTAACATTTTGTGGATATTCTGCTAGTGTAGCAGTACCATTTTCTTTGATGTGAATTTAATGTTTTACAAACGTTGCATACCGGTTGTAAAAGTGTTTCTCGAATGTTCCTTCAATGTTAATTTAACGTTTTGCAAACATTAAATTTATGTTGAAGGAATGTTTCCTGTGTGTTCAAATAACGTATGGAAAAACATTAATCTAACGAACAGATAAACATTGTGGAAATATTAAATAAAATGACATTAAGGACATATTTCAAACATTTGGGCCAAACAAAAAAATAACATTATTATAATGTTTTGGTGCTACCTGGGTTGACTCGCACTTACCAAAAAAGACAGAGTATCCTACCTTTAAATACTCCTCTTTAAAACAATCTGCTGGAAGTGCAAGTCAGAAGACAAGGCACTTTTATTGTAGTGGCTGCATGGAATAATTGGAGAGCTCAGTCCCGGTGGTAGTGAAATCTGTTGTACGGTAAGCGGTGCGGTACAAGGAATACTGAGAAGGACCTTGTGCAGTCGTTATCCTACTTCTTTACCTTGGATCTCGCAAGCCAAATTCAGGACATCCTTGAAATGACTGATGGCAACCACTTGAAGACAAACACTGTGTGTCCTACGATGTAACAGATATGACCGAAAGCCTTGGTTGTAGCAGATCCCCTCTGGGCGCAAATGACCCGACTATAACTTTCAACACGGATGGCGTGCCACTTTTTCAGAGCAGTCACTTCGGAATTTGGCCTTTGCCGGCGCAAATGAATGAACTCCCATTTAAGGAGTGCATACAGAAACTTCAATTATTTGGACTTTGGTTTGGCTCAGGCAAACCAGCTATGAACACACTCCTTGTGCCTTTTGTAAGGACAATGAATGAGCTGTCATCGCGTGGCATATCATGGACAGACAACAGTGGGAACAGTAGAATATCAAAGATATTCCCAAGTCCCTGCACAGTGGACACTGTTGCCAGGTGTGAAGTGATGCAGATGACACAATTTAACGGTGCTCATGGGTGTGCGTGGTGCAAGGAGCTTGTCAAGGTGATGAAGGGGACGTCTCGAGTTTACCCAGCAGGTGCCACTCGTCCCAAACAAAGAATGCACGCTTCTTTCTCGAATCATGCTCGGAAAACGCGCAATGGTGAACCAAGATGTGGTGTTAAAGGGGCAAGCGTCCTTTTGCTACTTTCCTTTTTCAGCTTTGGTTCGAGCTTTGTCGTAGATTATATGCAAGCTGTGTGTTCGGGCTTTGTGAGATCTACCACATTCCTGTAGTTTAAGCAAGCAAAGCTACGCGACACATTAAACCTGCGTCCCTTTGCGAAGGACATAGACGTTAGACCATATGGGCTAGCAACCCGTCCGGGAGATGTCACGAGTGCCGAGATCGCTGAATGACTTGAAACAATGGAAGTTGGCAGAGTGGAGAAATTGACTCCTCTATTACTCGCCTGTTGTTTTGAGAGGAGTCCTTCCTTCAAAATACCACGACCACTGGATGAAGTTTGTCGAAATAATGCACAACCTGCTAGGTTCGTCACTTTTTCTGCAAAAGCTTCGGGACCTTAGGACTATGTTCACTTTTGTCAAGAAGTACCCGGAGTATTACAGCAAACAGGATGCTACCTACAACACGCATCTCCTGATACATCTTGTTGACAGTGCGATAAAATGGGGGCCACTTTGGGGCTACTTGTTATATCCTTTCGAGCCGATTAATGGAAAACTGGGGCGACTAGTGGAGGGCACTCGGTACCCGCATTTGCAGATTGTGAAGAAGTTTTCTTTCCTCCAGGCTTTACCCAAGCTTTGCATGTCTGTGTCGCACAAGACAGGGGTGAAGTAGGGCAATTATTCAAAGCCCTGGTGAAGGGATATAACTTGAGGGTCCACTACACGTGTAATGGATCAGTCCAGTTCTATTGGATTGGGCAAGCTAGAGGCAGGAGTATCGAGTACAGAAAAATCTCCATCGGGTGTTGGAGGGCGCTACGAGCAGCGAAGAAAGCGGACGCGCCTCACCTGCGCTCTGCCAATTTTCGCGTTTTTTTCGGCAACCCTGGATCCTGACTCCAAACTTTTCACCCCGCAAGTGCAAGAAGGTGCCCAGAAACTGGTGAGCCCACATTCTTTTGGGACATCCTCGCCAAATCCTAGTTCTGGGCGGCTGAAGCTCAGACCGACTGCAGCGGGGAGCTAAGCCTAATCTGCATCACTGTCACCACCTAGAATGAGTATCTCCTTCACCTTTCCTCTTTCTTCAGAGTCCTACTAGAGTGCCTTGCCCTACAACGATGTCGTTCAACGAAGTTGACAAGAAGGGGCGAGTGGTTTACACGAAGAAGGGGAGCTGCTTCGTGCTACTGCTAACAACTCCCCGAAAGAAGCTAAAATTGACGCACAGAAGAGACTGCACCAGTCGCATGTCCGCCCACAAGTGACGGGACAACGGTAAATCCAAGTGGAAGAAAACAGACTCCAAAAAGCAAACCATCTACGCAACAGGTGTGTAATCAATTTCTATATTCGGACAGAATAACGCGACGCAATCACAAAATCACATGACACGACGTGTGTACTAAATATCTCTGCGGGGGACTTTACTGTGGTCACCTGCAGTGTCCGCAGGAGCTAGTGAAGCACGTTACCGTCGAGGCGTAAATGGGCACAGTGACAGCCCAGTTGAAAATTCCCATTAGATTCCAATTGGAATTTCCAATTGGTACCAGCTGGGTTTTGGAACAACCAATTGGTCACTGCAATGGGAACCAATTGTAACCCTTCAAGATTCCAACTGGAAAATTTTTTCCAATTGGTGAGACCCATTGGTCAGTGTGCTTCCAATTGGAACCCACTAAAACCAATTGGTTCCAATTAAAACCAGTTAGAATTCCAATTGGATCTAATGGGAATTTTCAGCTGGGAGTGCATTGTCGCTATCTTTGGTGCTTCTTGCACTAACACCGACAACTTACGTTTGCGTGTTGTGCTATATCCAAGCGAAAATTAAGCATCAAACATTTTGGTTGTTCCACACCACCCGAACTTGGGCTCCGACCCTTTTCTTGAGGAGATTAGAGAGGCAACCTGGATGTATCGACAAAACGGGGTGCACGAAACTGACACTAGTGCACGAAAGAGTTACGCTAAGTATGAGTTTAGAATATGTCAATTAGACCTAGCACCTGATCTCCTTGAGTGCTAATCTTTAAAAAAAAGTGCTGGTTTGATTGATTACCAGCTTTCATTTCTTAATTGTAACCTCCTAGGAAATGCCATTACGTGAACATGAGAATTGCTGGAGCCTAGTTGTTGACCACTGTCCTTTTTCAGGTGTTCATGCTAGCACGCGACCATTGTCATTCATTTGAGGTTAACCCGTGCATTGTGCCAGCATGATTAAGCCGGGGCAAATTTAATTTGGGTAGACATTGATGTCAACTTGGGTGCAAAACAGGGAATTCTAAAGCCGTGCAATGGTTTGAACACAATGAAGACGCCTTTGAGCATGTTTCTGCAACTTGTCGACCGTGATCTTCATGAGTTTCTGACATTCGAAATCAAAAGGTACAAAATTCAAGTGAATCGCACTTGGATCCCGCCGGTGTCGGTGCTTCAGATGCGCAAATTTATCGACATTGTACTCTACATGTCGGTTGTTGACCTTCCTTACAGAAGAATGTACTGGTCGGCCAACATGCATCAAGCTGATGTAGCCAACTGCATGACGAGGAACAGGTTTCATAAAATACTGTCCTTGCTTCATGCAAGCAAAAACGACAAAGAAGTGAAGAAGGGGGAGGACGGCTGTGGTAGTCTGCGGAAGATACGTCATGTGTTGACATGGCTGAGCGTCAACTTCTGGGAAGCAGCAGGAATTGAAGCCTACATGTGTCGCCGTCGACAAAATGATACCTTTAATGGGGCACCACTCGCTCAAGGTATACATCAGAAATAAGCCTAGCAAGTGGGCATACAAACCTTGGACCTTAACAGGACGTGCTGGCTATGTCTATCGCTTGTACTCATATGGAGATAATCTTGTCAGAGATGCCCCCAATACTCCGGAAGATATCAGGGAAAGCGGAAAGGTTGTTTTGTGTTTCAAGACTGCCCTCCCATGCAGAATACAAGTCTCCTTTGATAACTTCTTTGCATCACTCTCATTTTTTATTGAAATGAAGAAATGGCAGCTCGGAGAAACAGCAACATTCAGAGTGGCGAGAACAAGGAACTGTCCTTTGAAAAGAAAAAAAACACTGAAGAAAAAAGAGAGAGGAGCAATGGATTACCGGACCGAAAAGGATTCACAAGTTGCTATCTGCGCTTGGAATAACAATAGTTATGTTACAGTTGGCTCAAATGTTCACAGCGTTGAACTTCTTGACACCTGGGGGGCTATGTTGCACGTTTTGGACTCCCAGGCGACTAGGGAGAAGGAAGTGACGTGAACAACGCTCTTTGGATGCTGATTGGTGGAGTCGCTGATCGATGCGTGGTGCTGCTAGGATACGTTCATTCACACCTACGTCACTTCCTTCTCCCTAGTCGCCTGGGAGTCCAAAACGTGCAACATAGTCCCCCTGCACACGTTACGAGAGGAAGACAAAGACTTACGTAAACGTGAAGAGGCCGAAACTAGTCAGGGTTTATAATGAAAGCATGGATGGCGTCGACAAAGCTAATATGCTCCTCTCGTTTTACAGAAACGACCTGAAGACCAAGAAGTGGTACAAAAAAGTATTGTTACTTTCTGTTACAAATGCATGGCTTCTTTACCGTGAAGCTAAGTCGGCAGACCTGCGTTTCGCAGACTTCAAACTTGAGGTAGCACTTGGATCGTTGCGACCTCAGCAAGGCATGTCAGCTGGCAATGAGGACTGCATTGAACTAACACTTGCAACACCTAGTACATCGACAAGAGCAACGGAAGGGTCAACTTCAAAATCTGGAGTCGTATCTAAGAAGGCAAATCACGTCCAGTCCTCAGTATGTTAGGACAACTTTACCCACTGGCCCATCGAAGTGCCACAGACAAATGCCCCCATGTGCAAGCTAGATGCTTGCACAACGTACACAAGGTTCTTCTGCAAAAAGTGTTTGGTGTATTTTTGTATTGATCAAGATGGAATCAACTGCTTCAAAAAATTCCAATCGTGCCTAAGGATGATCAGAACTTGTGACAAATGACTGTTTCCCCTAACCCTGAGCTCGTGGGTGCAACAAATGTGTTAGTATTAAAACTCATATTCCAGTTACTGATACAGCAAATTTTTTTTCTGTGCATTACCAGGATCATTAGCTCTTCCAAAAATGTATTCGAAGTTGTCATATTTTTCAAGTTTCTCTGGGATACAAAGTGTTAAAGGAAGCTGAAATACTTTTTGAGAAAGAAAAAGAAAGGAGTTAGAGGTAAATTTTGGTGCTCTGCATCCCTACAGTATACGAGTGCATAGCTCTGTTTCATCAGAAATGCTTCACAGTATCTTGTTCGCAACCACTGCCTCAAGAAGAGTTCACCCCAGATGCTACAAGGGCATCTTTTTAAGCTTCCAAAGCTTCCAAAGCAAAAATCTTGGCCATAGAGGACATCCCCCAACCAAGAGGAGCCCACGATAGGGCATGCCTTGCCCCTACAGCCTAAGATTTTTTTGCCCCCTGTTGCTGCTGGTCTCAGGTTTCCACTATACTACCGCAAAATGCCGGGGGAGCGCCCACCCGATTTCCACTGAAAAATAGGTTAATCTAGACACGAGCGCTTGGCCGGTCAAGCCAGGGGGGGGGTTAACATATAATTTGCAAAATTCCATTGTTCGGGAAATGTTAATAGTAGCCACTTCTGTGGTATTTTGCGGTATATGCACTTGAATGAGCATGTTAAATGCATTGAAGCCAAAGAAACATCCAGTCCAAATTAGAGCAGAGTCAGGCTTATAAAACACCCCACTATTCTGGCTGGGAAGGCTTCACTTCCTTAAGAGGTGCATGTAGGAAAGCCCCCAACAAGAGACCTAGAATCCATGAATGGAAAGACAGAGTGGTAGCTATTAAACTCATACTCTTAGCAGGCGTGCAGCCAGTAACCTTCCCTTCAGGGCCGTGGAGCAAGCTAGGCATTGATGTGGTGGGCCCCTTTGCAAATGCACTGTTCAGCTGTCATTTTGCCATTAACTTAATTGACTACTCCAGCAAATGGCCTTTAGTCTGTTTCACTCCAACTGTCACTGCTGGAAAGGTCATGTACTTCTTACGTAGCGTGTTAAGACGTGAAGGCTACCCTGATGAGCTCGTAAGTGACCCCAAACCTCAATTCACTGCCAGTGAGTTTGAGACATTCTTGCCAGAGGGGAATCAAACATTCCTTTTCTGCAGTCTATTATCCTTAAGCAAACAGGCAAAGCGAGAGGTTTAATCGCGTACTAAAAGAGCATGTTCAGGTGTACCTACAAGAAAAGCGTCCGCTCAAAGCAATTACGGAGTACCTAGGGGCGTACCGCTGCACTCCATATGCGACTACTGGTAAGAAGCCTTCTCTACTCATGCACGACTGTCATCCCTGAACAAGGCTCGCCTTGATGGGAGCACCCTCTTCTTACTTTTTCCAGAAGCCCGAGGTAGAGATGAAGGACCTACGGCGAAGAGCAGCCAAGAGCCAAAGTGCGAGTAAGGTATACACCAACAGTCGGTGAGCGGCCAAATCTGCGCCGCTACGGTCAGGCCAAAAAGTTCGGATCAAGCGGCCTGGACATGTGCCGAAAGAGACCTCAGGTTATTCACAGCCATTTACCATGGTAAGACATTGCCAGGAAGGCACCTATGAACTCGACGATGGCCGGGTGCGGAACCGGGAGCATTTGGTGTTCTTTATCTGTACCCCAGCCCTTGCATCAATTTCGTCACAACCAGCGAGTCAGCAAACTTCGAAGCCGCCCGTATTGAAAGCAGCGAGCAAAAAGTCCATGCAGCCCGAAAGTGGTGAATTTCAGCCGATCTCATCATAAGCAGCAGACCACGGGTCCCTGCAACCCGAGGTTGCTAAGAGCAACGAAGTTCATCGAGAGCTGCTGTCCCACAACCGGCTCAAGTATGGAAGCGTTCATTGTGGCCACGAAAGAAACCAACATGGCTCGCTGATTTTAGCCATTACAAAGGGACTTGAAGCGTATAGCTTGTGAACTGTCAGAGCTCTTCAGACATTTTCTTACAGTGTGAACTTAATTTAATCCTAAGTTGTGTTATAAATTCAGATGTGCTATTGTTATACTTTGTTTATGGAGGGGAAGATGTGGTATTTTATAGTTAGTGTGAGTTGTAGCTAAGAGATGGTGCTATAAGCCTTAGCAAACATCATCATCATGTACATACTTTCATGTAAACGCCATTAAAAAGAACATTAGATTTCTGGGACCTTTTGAAGGTGGTCGATCCGCGTCCGTCGTGCGTCAAGGCATGTTTGGAGCGATACACCTGACATGTTCACGCCTGTGGCGTAATTTATGTCCTTTGTATTTCGAGGACAGACCAAAGCGTGAGCTACACTAAACACAGACAACCTTAAAAAGAATGCAAGCCAAAGATGTGGCATTTTCACAATGTTAAGCAGATCCTTTTGCAGACAAATACAACAGCGATGAAGCATCAAGTACAAGCCTGGCTTACCACAGGCACAAGATGTTTAGAGCTACACAACATCTTGCCAAGATGTCCTTGGAAGTCTTGTGCACTTTGCCAATATATCTCTCTTGGAGATGTCTTTGACACGACAATAAATAAGTCTTCTTAATGTCTATACAGTCTAACCTCATTATTACAAACACTGATATAGCGAAGTCAATACAAGTTTGGGTAGGTTATGCTTTATTTAAATGGAAGTTCTACCTCTAAAACGAAACCAAAACCGCGAGATCCGACGCGGTATCGGTTATAGCGAAATTATTTTTGGTTGTGCACGGCTCGCTGTATGCTGTATGGATCTTGGAACGATGTGAGGCGGTCAACAATAAGCAACTGTTTCGTGGATGCTGACTTCTTTCTGCCTTCCGACAAAGAACATCCTGAAGACCCAATGGCACAACTTGAAGAGACACTGTGGGATCGGTTTACGTTGCCGGATATCACATTCGAAGACTTCGTCTGCGCCGACGACAACTTGGCCGTGGCGGCCGAACTAACAGACCAAGAAATAGTCAATAGAGTTGTATTCCCCAGCAGTGACAGCGAAGATGATGTTGAAGGAACTCAGACCAGTTGTGTGGATGCCGCGGACATGATGAGAAAGCTGCGAAGCTGCTTAGAAGAGCTCCCCACGAGAAAAAACAGTGAAGTGAAGAACGCTCTTTCCCGCATGGACACCATCGAGAATTTCATTCTCCTCAATGCTGTGAAAACCCACCAGTCGAAGATAACGTCTCTCTTCAAATAAACTGAATTGCAGACTCGGACAACATGGTTCCTCGGTTGTAAATTCACTTCATAATGTGCCGGTTCAATTTTTTAAATGCAACCCGAAGTTACAGGTAAGGATTTGCACATTTATTATGGGGCTCAAATTCGGCAAACATAGCGCTTTTATATTTTAGTGTTATGCTTGTGTGAGTGCTTTTTGCAGGGGCCCGATTGCCAGGATGTTTGCGGAAATTTGTGTGTGTACTTTTATAACGAATATTGGATATAACGAACAAATCTGCACGCCCTATGCTACTCCGTTATAACAAGGTTCGACTGCAGCTCAAATTAGTCGCTTGAAGATGTCTATGATACATCTTGTGCTCGTGGGTTTTGAAGAGCCTGTGACGCCGGGAAATATCAGGGAAAGCGACCTTGACACCCATTGCTGCCGAGTTGGAGAGGGAACAAAGTCCCGTGATTTTCGACTGGCTGACTCTGCTTAGGAGTCCAGCGACCCCGCATCACAGAAGACGGCGGGCAAAGAGGAGACGGCCACTCTCTCCTTCTTTGTCTCCCGCAGGAACGGAAATGGGAAGATTTCCTGCGGGTGACGGGGGGAGGGAGGAGAGCACGCTTTGGGCAGTTTGCTTTCGACTGAGACTTGAGGTGGCCACAACGAGAGACTGGCAAAAAGGGTATGAACATCATCAAGGTGCCGGGGCTGCGCAGCAAACGTATCACATTCTCTCTACTCTCAGCAAGGAAACGAATTGGCTGGTGGGAAATCTTGTGGATAAAGTCATTGTCGAGCTCTCCGAGTACCCGTGCTCCAACGCTGCTAGTCGAGAAGTCAGATGGGCAGTTTTGTTAGGCGGTGAATTAACGGAAGTTGAATGCGGTGATGCGGGTCAAGCCTTGTTCAATTCCGGACATTCAAGAGACTCTGGCGCAGCTTAGGAGTGCCAAATACTTCAGTGTCGTAGACCTCGCATCCAGATTTTGGCAAGTCGAAATGGATCCGGCTGACAAAGCTAAGCCAGCATTTAACACTCATGCTCATGGCACCTGTTCTCCGTCATCGCAATTTCGACATGTCTTTTGTTTTGGCGCAGGCGCTTCGCAGTATGCACTAGGGGCGGTGCTCTCACAAATGAGTGATGGAGTGGAGGAGCCCACTGCGTACGCAAGTCAACGGCTCAACAAAGCAGAGCGAAACTACAGTGCTACTGAGCGAGAGTGTTTGGCGATAGTTTGGGCTGTGCACCATTTTCGGTGCTACTTGTATGATCGCCGATTTCATACAGTGACCGGCTGACGGCCCCTTGCGGTGGCCCATGAATTTGAAAGACCCGAGCTCTCGCCTTGCCAGGTAGAAACCTGCGATTGCAAGAGTATGATTTTGAGATCTTGCACAAACCTGGAAAGGGGTATGTTAAATGCCCAATGCCCTCAGCCGAGTGTGGCCGACCATGAGCGCCGTTGAGAGTTTTGCACCCGCCACCGGGGGTGCTCGAATAAAGGAGGAGCGAGAGACAGATCCAGATATGGCACGGATTTTGGTGAGGGTGACAGACGATACTGTGATGTTCTGCGTCTCGTCCCGACCTTAT